AGTTATTTTAAGTTTGTTTCCATGCTCCTACTGTTCATATTTGTAATTCGTTTAGAACAGCTATTACAATTATATTCTAATCCTGTGTAATGTTTTGTTTCTAAACCTCGTGTAATCTATATTCACACCTCCTAACTTACATTTCAAATTTAAAAAATTATTATTTCAATTTGTTTCCATACTCATTTTGTTCATACCTGTGATTCGTTCTATCCCTACATAATTTTCGTTTTTAAGCCTTTTGTAATTCATATCAAGTTGAAAATGATTGTCACCTTTTATTCGCCTTTAAAATTATTTCTCCAGTTATCAAATATTAATTTTGCATACGTTGTAACTGTTTTCTAATCCTATGTAATCTTGCCTCTAAGCCCGTTGTAATCTATACTCATATCTTTAAACTTTCATAGCAAGTTGAAAGTTGTTATCTCTTTTGGTTACTATGTGGAATTCCATAAATAATAATTGTATCCATGTAAACTTATGTATATAAGTGCGATTGTACAGCTGCTTTTGAGAATGAAATAGCCGAAAACATATCTTTGCTGAACTTCTTGTTCTTTTCCCTCTAATGTCCCGATGGGTATTCTCCACGATCACGAATTCCAATCATTTGATTTACTAACCCTAGTTACACAGGAATCACTGACCTATCATCCATCACCCTAACAACAGAAATTCTCTTTTAAAAGTGTATTTACTAATAACATCAGATAATCGAATAAAACTTGTGCACTGTGGTGAGTATAATTCCATTGTGGATGTTATACAGTAATATTTACTGATGACCACGTTTCGAGCACTATTTATTACTGTAGCTCGAAATCATATCAAGTTACTCACACAACTTTCTAACTTCGTTTATATAATTCCACTATTTCTCATCTCTTGATTTGATTGATAGTAATATTTTCCAAATTTCTGGTATGAGTCATAAGTCATTCCTATTCCATGTGTTGGCTGTAGACTCGATGAATAAGGATTCAGTAATCAACCTCTATCTCCACCTGTCTATATTACTTCTTAGAATTTTAGCCCTCTGCCGCCCTGTTGTGTAGTTGTTGGTTAATGCGTGCAGTGTAATTGTTGAGCGTTTTTACAAATTACTTATCTTCTTGAAGTCAACCATTCTTACCTTCTCTAAATTCTGATGTTCAGACAATCTGACTACCCCGATCTACTGGTTTCTCCTATGCAGTTGACTTTACTCACATTCATTGCAAGGTATTTTGTAAATTATATTATTTTGTTTAATTGGGTCCACTGGGTCCTTTATTCTACAGAACTTGTCTCTGAGTGAGTTTGTAGGTTTGAATGCCACCCTAATTCCTGCTTTATTGAGAATCAGATGTCCCCCCTCCCCTAATGTGATGCCTTATATTCTCTCTTATTTAAGTTATCATTATTAGTTTCACCTTTATTTTTATTTCGCTTTTCACATATTCTGATATTCCTGATGAATTATTTAGGATAGTCATTTAGTTATTTAACACCAAAGCCTCTTCTATCTGTTTCATTTCATCATTTAGGTCTTTTCTTGTACTACTTAGTGCTACTGCTCGGCTTGTTAAACACTTAACTAAGCCACCTGCCTTCTCAGATAGATAACGGATGAGATGAATTAAAGTCTAAATATCTATTAGCAAAATACCCTGGCTAATTATAAAAGCTAGTGTGCAGTTCACCCTCTTCTATCCGTCTTACTTTACAATCTGAAACCATGCGTAATTCTCCTTGTTCATTTTCCGATTTAAATGTCAATTTTCATCCCCTTAGTAGTGAGTTTATATGTGTATGAAGTAGCCGGAGATACATTCTGTTTTTCAACTCTGTGAATGTGTCGTCTATCTATCTCCAACCTATTTTTGCAGTAGGATTAAATGTATTAAAAGCTATATTTTCCCGAAACGTCATCAGTAAATATTATTGTATAATGCTGTGAGACTTCATCAAAATAAATCAATCAAATGTCATCTACAGTGGAACATCGGATAACCTTGTCACCCTTATGTGTTTGTTTCAGTATAACTACCTCACAAAAATCCTTACTAGAGGACCTATTTTTGATGATAAACCAAAAGTATCCTGACACTGCATGATTATTTGGTTTATTAAACGCTACCGGTTGTATTCAGATAATGAAATTCGACGAAATAAAGTGGATTCATATTATTCTTCACCGACGTTTGTCCTATCTCTCTTCAAATTTATAAAGGAGAATTCGTATAACAAGTTGTATAGTTCGCCTGTATAGGACTGGTCAACCTTAGAGGGAGTTTTAATCAATTTGACTGATAGTCACCACACAATGACAGTAAATCTAGGTACAATGTATAACTGTTTTTCTGAAGTTTGTAGGTTTATTGCATTCTTTTTACGTTACCTCTATTGTAATAAAGTCGAATTTCAATACAGCAGACTACTGTTTTCTGGTGGCTGATGATTAGCATTAGAATTCAGGATGAACACTTCGTCCTATTCGGGAATCCCCATCTGAATGTACTTGCAAATGAAAATGAGTGATAATGTAATGACAGAAGACAAGGGCCAGGCAACAGATCGTTTATTGAGAAAATCAACAAATATTTAAAGATTTTTATGTCAGTGGGGAAGCAACGTCTTCTGATTGTTGTTTCCTTGCTCAAGATTATTCTGTACTGCTCGTGACCGTTTCTTAGAAAGTTAAGCCATTTATCTGTGAATCCTACTTGCACACGTTAAGTCTGCTGTGTTTGGCTGGTGAATTCCTCAAGGTCAAGCTTTGTTATTGTTTTTTTCATAACCCCGATTTTGGACTTAACATTGCCATAAATTGTTGTCTACAAACTTTAACTTGCAGCCAGCTTTCACCACAATAATGTTCCTAATGACACTGGAATCCTGAACGCAACGTTTCAAACGTCATGATAGCCAATTCTTGTGCTAAGGGGGTCGGTGATTATTTGGTTAAGTCAGTTTTGTTTTGAGTGCTAGTTACCATCAAACAAGTAACATCATGCTAATCCTCAGATATCCTCATAGCTTCTGAACTAGTAGCCAACAGGATGGCAGAGATCGAACTTTTCAGTCCTATGTATATAATCAATCAACTATAAACACAAGATCTTCCATGTGACCACTTCTGTGTGCCTATATCAGTTCGCCTGTTCATGTGGATCCAAGTGCATTGGTCATTCCACATGTATTCTATCAAAAATGACTCAACAACACTCTCCTGTATGGTTGTAGAAAGGTAGCAGTGCAATGGCTCTATAAGCAGTGTGACATCACTGGTCATTCCTTGTCAACAATCTTCTCCATTGAAGTAGTCGAAAAAGTGAAGAACAACCTCAGACAATTCACTTTCCTCTTTTTTTCATTTTTGTAGCTGCAGTCATTTATATAGAAAGACCAGTGCTTTGCATGCAAAAGAGAACTATTCAGCTACTATTTCTGTTACTATAGTAAAAATCTCGTTGTTTTCTACTAATTTGATTTCGATTCTCTGTTTTTAACTCTTTATAACTATTTGTATTTCTTGCGCGATTTCACATTCTCCATGTGCTCCCCTATTACAACTCATTCTCTGGGCTACTTATTGTGTGGCTATAACACTCTAGTTCAACTTCTTCTATGCATTGATTAGTATCAAAAACTATGATTTTGACAATTTATCACTTTTGAAACTATCGTCTTTTTTTGTGAACAGTTGTATGTAAATGTAACTGATCACCTCGATTATTATCATTTCCTTTAATTCCTAGAGGAACATAGGGCCTCAGCTGCACGTCTCCTTTGCGTCCGGTTCTCTGCCAACTTTTTCATCTGGCTCCACGTCTCCCACATGCTTTCACCTCCTCTTCACATCACCTCCTCCATGTTAGCCTTGGACGACCAACTCACTGCTTCTCATTCGGGTTCCTCTCGAGGGCTTGTCTAGTGATGTCACTTGCTGGTTTCCTCAGAGTATAGCCAATCCACCTCCATTTATCCTGCATATTTGTTGCCCAATCAGTTCCTGCTGGGTTGGTTCGCTCTCAGAGATCCCTGTTGCTGATCTTTTGTGGCCATCCCCTCGATTGTTATCCATTAATTAACATACCTGAACTTTGATCTTATAAACCACATTAATTCAAAATGTCTATGATTAGTATTTTATAATGTAAGTGTAAAGCCTGATGAGAATTTACCGAAAATACATATTCGCTTGAATTGCGTTCTATAATCATGATTATAGGAATTTTTAAATTATTGAAAATAAATTCGTCGAAATTGGCCTCTTCGTTGATCTCCTTGTTCTGCTCTTTCCATTAATGCCTGGATGGATATTTAATTTATATCCATTACACAAGAGATGGATTTCGTAGCCAAAATAGTCTAGTCAATAATCTTCTGGTGTTTGAAACAATGGATGTTGTGTTCTGGTCTCAGTAGGAACACCATCATTCACTCACTGGGGATTGCCGGTACATCCATCTGACGAGTCCTGAATAGGGCGAAATGCTCACTTTATGTACATGAGGGATGCCAGTTTACTGGCATCACCATCCTTCGAGGTTACAGATAGGCCTTGCTGATGAGCACCAACTAGCACGAAACCTAGATACGACAGGACCTCTTGCCGATTGCCTCCATCGATTTAGTACCAAAATTCAAGATCTTTTGGCTTTAGTGTCTATTCTTTGGTGTTGCCACTTCACTATATAGTAGCACGCCACACTTCAACCTATAATTGTATTGACATCTTGATTTAATTAAGTTTCGTGCTTAAACGATACTCTACTTTATATATAAGACAGTGTTTTAACCCCTTAGAGTTTCTGTGTCAGCCATTAATAAAATTTATCACGTAAGACTATACTTATACCCAGCATTACCCTGAATTATCGGTCGACCTTGAGGCTAGCCAATAGCTAATATATATATAATCATGTGAATCAAAACAAGTGAATTACTTTGTCTTTTTCAGTGTTCTACTACCTCAAATATCATTTTTATCTGACAGTATGTGGTGGCCGGCAATGCCTCTGTTAGCAAGAGCACCAGTCGATTATACTGATTATGGTGAATTGATAGAAACGAGTAATAATGTGAGTGTGAAGAAAATTCCCCAAAGGTCGAAAAGTCAATCGGATGTGAACTATTCTCCGTAAGTGAATATTTTTAGTTTACAGTTTAGCAAACTTGGAAAGAACTTGAAGTTGACATACACTACACTTTTCAAGGGTTATCCTACAGCTCAGTGAATACTAACTTCTGCCAGTTAGCTAATATTTAGTACCCCTGTGTTAACCAGTGTCATCCGCGAGTAGATGTTCTTAATCCTCAACTTAATCGAATCAATTGGTGAGGTCTTCTCAATGAAATTTGGTTGAATAGTCTTATATAATTTAAAAAGTGATGAGCACCACACAGAAATAACTGTTTTCTGAGCCTCTTTCTTTCTTTTTGAGCAATATCCTCGTTTCTGAAAGACCGATGTTCGTCATTCAGTGTTTTAAGGTTATGTAGGACTACCACCCAAAAAAGTTTCACAATTTAGCCATCTTTTGTTTCCTCACATGTCTTTTTGTTTTACCAACCAACAATAAGAGCTGGTATTTACAGGCATTTTCCAGACCTTTTTTGGAATACTGTATAACTTTACAGTTTTGAAGAGAAGTTATGAAAGAGTATAGTCTTTGCTGGCTGATGTATTTTTAACTTTGACATAACTTAAGCAAAGATCATGAATGAATAAATTCATTCATTTTGGACTTTCTTGTTGATTGATTGGACTGAAGTGCTCGGCCTCAAATTGACATGTTGGTCCAGTCAATCAAAGGGAAAGTCCAAACTGAAATAAATGATTGTTGACACCCGTTGCACAAGACGTGGCTCTCGTGACGTAAATGGTCTAGTGGATAGTGGTTTGGCGCTTGAAACTCACTCAATGGAGATTTCAAGTACATCGAGATGATGAGTTGTAAATAAGACGAAATGCTCATCTTCGATGGCTTTCACTGCTAGTCACCATCCACGAGTTTACTTAAAGATCATGAATACTTGGTGACACGAAAAAATGGTAACGATGAAATTCTAGCGGTCTTTTATATCTTACGATATTTCTTGAAAAGATATCCCTTCTTCCTGTTGTCTGACTTCTTTGATTATAAGAATTAAAAAACAAAATAACTGAGCAAAGAATATCCTTTCCGATAACTTCCTCTTCTGGTTCCATTATAGGTAAATTTTGTTTTCATAAAGTCTTACAGTGTTATACAGTAATGTTTACTGATGACGTTTCGAGCACAATTTATTGCTCATAATCATATCAAGGTAATCACACGACTTCCTAAATTCATTTATATAGTTCCATTGTTTTTCCTTGATTTTTACTTGATTTGATTGGTAATAGTATTTTCCATATTTCAGGTATGAGTGACGAGTCATTCCTATTGCATGTGTTGGGTGTAGACCCGATGAATAGGATTCAGTGGTCAACCTCTCTCTCCACCTACCTAGATTACTTTTTAGAATTTTAACCCTATCCCAACCTATTGTGTGGTTGTGTGTTAATGCATTCAGTGCGATTGCTGAGCTTGTTTCTAAATTACTTATCTTTTCAGGGTCAACCATTCTTCCCTTAGCTAAATTCTTATGTTCCAATAACCTGACTTTCCCTGACCTACTACTTTGACCTATGTAGTTGACCTCACAGTCATTGCATGGTATTTTGTAAATAATATTATTTTGTCTAATTGGGTTAACTGGGTCCTTTAACCTCTGGCTCTACAATTATATATTTATATGTTTATATACATAGAATATTCTAGAATTGTAGTCAATAACAACATTGGTCTTTTTAAATAATATCGATTTGTTATGTAAGATCACAATGGAATTACAGCCCACGAAAGATGCATAGATTATATAAAGCATAAAATGTAATAGTAAAAAATAGAATATCAAATACAAATAAGGAAATTTCCCCCAACAAACTGAAGTTCATTAGAACCTAGATGGCTAAGGTAAGGACAGTGTCTGAACCAACTACTTTCGGACACATAAGTTAAGCTTCTTAATGTGGATCTCAATAGCCAGCCTCAGCAATATGTAGTAGACGAACTCTTAAGGTGATGTTAAGATTAGTTGGTATGCGGTAGATGACTTTGAAAACCGCCTCGTTGACATCAATCACTCTTTTGTTCAGCATCCACAAGATGAAATAGAATAGCGCTACGAATAGATTTTGTTTGTCCTTCACTTAACCATTTAGAGTGATGTTCGGAAATCCGACGAGAAACTCACCCATTAGTATGGCCTATGTAGCTGGTTGCACAGGAGCCAGTTTTTTTATAGACGTCTGAATGAATATTTTCGCTACATAAGAATTCAAACCAACTCTTTATTTTCAGAAGCCTTCTCTTCCGACTAAATGATTTCTACTGTCTGAATTAATAGTGGTTAATTCGTGACGAAAGAAATTTGACGATAACTTGTTTGAATTACGCACGAATCAGCTGACTTCCCAATGTTCATAACATTTTAGATCGAGGAGATTCTCATTTTAGACTGGCTTTATCTTGATTAAAATAATGTTCTGTGACTATGAAGACAGAATAACTATCCATTCTGTTATCATGATAAGTGGATAATGTCAGTATTTAAAACGTGGTGTTATCGTGTACTGATTCAATTCACTACAGCTCATGTCGTTGCGTGGAACAGGGTGATTGATAGTTGGAAAGACAAAGCAGTGAAAGTGAAATCACTGAAGTTTTTAGGCACCTGACTGAAGGAAGAAAGTAAAAACAGTTGCTTGGAAGTAAAGACATGCATCAAAATGACTTCAGTGGAAGTAGGTATATTAGGAATGAGTGTGACTCGTTCATTTCTGCCAAGTAGACGTGAGTTTGTATTTCTTCATAGCAGTCAACCAGTAGGCATTCGAATAAAGAGCATTGATAACAAAGAGTCCTTATAAGTTAATACGATAACTTGACTTTATTACAGTCCAGTCTTACACTCTGTCTAACGCTTGAGATATTTAACAAACTTAAATGTAATTCATAACACATATCCCAGTTACCTTAGACTGAGGAGATTTACACTCTATCCTACCTCATATCATACCCTTGTATCTACATATATTATATAGTGATGGTGTTTCCTGATTTCTGTTTTGGATGGTTCCACGAGTGACCGTAAACTTTCACTTCCTTTTCACACCATCTCATCCATGTCATCCTTGGACCCCAGCCCAACTCATCTTTCTCCATTCTCATTCTATTCGAGGCCTAGTCTAGCTCATGATGTCGCTCAAAGGTCTCCTCAGGCTTTATGTCCAATTCACCTCCATTTTCGTCTGCATCTTTCCTGCGCGATAATTTCTTGATTAATAAAATATGAATATAAAAAGGCTATTTTGAAATCTTTGTGTCTGACTGTTGCATTAGCGAGTTGATGTCAATTTCCGCTTAGCTGACATGTATATATATATATATATTAATAAAATGGTGAGTCTTAATTTTTCTGATTACAACCTGATTCCACACAGTACTTTATGGTACAAATATGGAATTTTCAGCATGCGATATCGGTAGCCCGAATTTCGCAAGCAGACCACTGATATCAGTCAGGAGATGGACACCCGGACCATATGCATGGTTGGCGAGAGTCCTAACCGCTGTGCTACCGACACACGCAACTTCTCATGACAATTGTGGCAAGTTCTAGGTCGAAAAACATTCTCCACTCCAATTGTCGGAATAAATTCTCACAAATGGATATGACTGAAAGACTATAGGACTTCTCCCAATGCCCATTTCAAACAGCTGCACGAAGACCCATTTATGTATAGATGAGTATAGCTTAAGTCGCCAAGAATATGAGTTCTAGAAACTATCTGAGATTAAAAAGCATTATATGAGGCTTATGGCATATAAACTCTTTATTTCTGAAAGTAAAGTGATTGTTTTTCACACATGAGCCTCTCTAGACAAGAAGTATAATTAAAACTCACATATGTTATGGATTCATTCTCTTTCAGTCTTTGCCTTTTGTTTATGTTTCCGTCGTAAACGAAATATAGGGCTTCAGGTCTGAGGCCTTGAAGTTCCAGTAGTGAGGGGTGATGTTGCTAGCCTTAGGCTGATTCTTCTCTCTTTCTCAAGCTTACTATCTGCTAGGTGAATGATATGTTGGTCAATGTCCAGTCTGGAAGTAAGACAGTCGCTCACATCAATCGACAGGACTTGCTGACTATCCATATCAAGGGGATCGAGCTGGAACTGTGGATATTAGACGGTTGGAGGCAACTGGCATGGAGCCATACCGGACCTATGTTTCGAAGGAACTCATGTCCCTTCTGAGATTTGAACCCACGTCACCTAGTGCTGCAGATGAGTGCCAACTAGCACAAAACCTAGGTCCAAGGCTTCCTATGACCGACTGCCTCCAACCATCTAATGCCAACAATTCACAGTGCACCGTGATGGACAGCCACCTAGTAGTGGCATGGTGGCCACATTGTAAACTTGACTGATAGAATTCAATCTGCACCGAAGATAGGACTAGACACATTACACTAGTTACTGACTAGTGTTCAATCAAAACTAGTATATACGACCATTTAAAACGAGATCTTACTAAAATTAGCAACTAGGCTTAGGTTACATTCACTTAAGGAATGTATAAAATGTTAATATAGTGGGTTTTGATTCTTTACATTTAGAGGAAACAAAGTTACTACTTTTGTCTGAAGTTGTCTAGCAGTGGAATCTTCGATGTGTATTTCGTCCTATTTGACACTCGTCTGCAGGATGTAGATGCATTCCCCAGTGAGTGAGTGAGTGAGTGAGGAGTGAGAATCATGTTCTCACTGAGAAACAAACTTTTCACCGATTGTTTCAAACACCAAAGCGTTATCCACCTCCAGATAACGAGTTTCAGACAGAACACAAAGTTTGCACTCTAGATTCAAATTAACCAAAATATAACATCACGCTAATCTGTAAACATTGTCGAAGCATCTATACTGGGAGCTGATATGTTGACGAAAATGGAATATACTTCAGTGCAACATAATCAAAATCAAGTTAGGAAATTAACTTAGGAAAAACTAAATAACGTTTATCTATTTTCACAGATTTCAACAATTTGAGACGT